TATATCAGAAGTTTAAACTGATATGGTTTAAAACGCATGATTTCAGCACGATAAACATGATAATCAGAACCAAAACAGATGTTTTTAGCAGGTCCGAGCTGGCAGGTATGAGCTCTATTCTGGAAAAGGGGGCGGGGAGCAGCAGCTCATTTGCATTTAACGAGACAGGCCCGAAAAACAGCGTGTTTCTGCTTCCACTCATAGGCGTTTTCAAAATGATATAATAAATGATCTGTGGAGTATTTTGAGCTGAAATTTCACAGACACATTCTGGGGACACCAGAGACTTATATTACATATTGTAAAAAGGGGCATAATATGTCTCCTTTAATAAAAGAATACGTATATATACGTATATGTGATTTCAAACCAGGGCATTTTCTCAGAGGAGGCAAGGGAGGCAGTGCCTCCTCAATACTTTTTGGACAAAAAATAGTATGACAATGAATGCTATATTATGATAATATCTATGTTCATTCACAATATGTATGCAAATCCACCAGACAAAAATGGGAACTAATGGAATAATTACAACATCCTAATTTAAATTCAATTCAAGTAACAAAATGACCTGTGTGTGAGCTGGTTTTTATGAATGCTCAGCTCAGTTACATTAAAGCTGCACATCTGTGCCTGTGATCATCATTAGACAAGGTTTACTATGGATCTAATGTTGCGATCACACTGAAATGAACGTTCAGTACTTACTCTTGCACCATCTCGCCCCGATAGACCAGCAGGACCTGATTCTCCTTTATCACCCTAAAAAAGAGATGTCACAACAGTATTAAAGAATATCATCTATGTTATAAACCTTACTAAATATCTATTGTAGACAGCTTACTGGATATCCAGGGAGGCCTTGTTCACCATCTTTGCCAGGTTTTCCCTTATAAAATAAACGTATCACCACATAAATGTCATAAAAAACCTGTCTTTTGTAATCTGTAAACCTAACTGAGTAGTTGGGGTTTCAATAGGCTTCCACTCACCCTCTTTCCAGACTCCCCAGGTTCTCCTTTCTCACCTTTCTGGTCCCCTTGTGGACCCTGTCAGACAAAGACATGACTGTTCATTACAAAATAAACAAAAACAAGAAAGAAAGCATAATCCACATCATATTTATATGTACATATAATGTAATCTATCAGATGAATACTATACTACTGTGAGAGGTCAAGATGCCAGTGTGTTTTTAATGAATGTAGAATGGATCAAAAGGAAACAAAAAGAAAAATACATACAGGGGGTCCAGGGGGACCTGGAAAACCAGGATTTCCAGGTTGGCCGCGATCACCCTATTAAAAAACAAACATAGCAAACCATTAATCAAAACATACATTCACAAAAGCATGATACACCTGCTATCATGCAATGTAACTCAGGAACGTTTTACTGTTTGTAATTGTGTATGACAAAAAAGTAATTGAGTCGAATATGACCAAAAACTGGATTTAGGCTGGGAGTAAAATAAATAAATAAATAAAATAAAATAAAAATGTTAAGTTAATAAGATTTACTAACAGCTCCTGCCAGCACAACCCCTATTTTGACATAAAAAAAAACTACTGTCAGGGTTTACTAAAGACACACATTGAAAAATTAGAGATGACAAGGCATGGACATGGAGTTATTTTGTGGCTAACCTTCAGTGTTGGGGAGTAACTAGTTACATGTAACGGTGTTACGTAATTTAATTACAAAATAAATATAACTAATCAGTTACAGTTACTAAGAAAAATGTGTAATTAAATTAGTTACTTATGAAAATGTTAACGATTACAAAAGGGGTTACATTTGAATATTTACACACAAAATTCCAAAATTGCACTGACTACTCTAAAATATGAGACATAAGGCCCTATGATTTCCGCGATGTGGAAAACATGGAGTGGTTCATAGAATCCAGTCATAAAAACGGAATTCCTATAATGCGGAATGTCACGGAATATGCCACATTTTGGACGAATAGATAAAAAGTAGGCCAGTAGACTTGAATCAAAATGCGATATGGACTAGTACAGTGGTCACCAACGTGGTGCCCGTGAGCACCTGGTAGCCCGCATGGAGTCTCTGAGTCGCCCGCCAAGCACGTTCTATAAATAGCCTAAATTAGCGTCGGGCGATAAATGATATCATATCGAGATTATGATAAAAATTTATGTTAATAATGATGATAAGCTCTGGAAATTTGTACTCAATATGGATTAATCTAACATCCTGTCACACAACACAACAGAAATAAATGTTACAGCAACCAGTCAGTGCATGTCGCTAATAAGTCTGCATGTTCTGTGTGTCTCTGAATGTGTGGAGTAGTTTCATCTGATACACAAACTCAAACACACGCGACTCGCAGTGTTTTCAGCATCTGCGTCTCAATATATGAGGACATGAACACATGGGGCGGGACGTGGGTGTGTCGTCTGAGGCTGACACTCAGATTTAGGGGATGAAGCATTCTGATTGCATTCTGATTACATTAGGGCTTCGGGTTTACACACACACACACACACACACACAAGGGTGTAACTTTGGTTTGAGAAGTGGGGGGGACACAAAATGGGGGAAAATGTTTTCGATTTGAATCCCATTTCCTGCATGTACATACATTTAGGGACTATGGTGATACAAAATCCAGGAAATAATTAAGTTGATTAATGATCAATTCTGCCAAAAAGAATAGTAGGCTACTAAACTATGTATAAGAAAAATATGTCTTACTTTCTTTATTGTTTAATAGGGGCCGATCGCCAAGACTTGAGAGAATCATTTTATAAAGTCGTAAATGTTCACCATTAATGTTTTGAATAATGTTTAAATAATGTGAGACTCAATTTACACTGTTAAACAAACTTTTATTTCAAACTAATCGCTGTACCTGAAAATATAAAATAAATCACAGAATGTTCTACATCAGTGGTTCCCTGACTTTTTAGAGTGGAGTACCCCCTGAGGCATTTCTGTGTACCCCCTCTCTTCCACTTAGACTGCACCATTTCCATTAAAGGACAATATTTGCCCCCTAAATTGACTTTCCAATGCATTTTTTATCTTAATAAATAGAGTATTAATGCTTAAAAAAATTTTTTTTCAATAGATTAATATGCAATGATGATAAAAAAAAAAAGTGAAAAGGCAGCCATTTCACCCTGCAGCCCAAGACTGGTTGCCCACTGAAGCTAAGCAGGGTTGAGCCTGGTCAGTACCTGGATGGGAGACCTCCTGGGAAAACTAGGTTGCTGCTGGAAGAGGTGTTAGTGAGGCCAGCAGGGGGTGCTCACCCTGTGGTCTGTGTGGGTCCTAATGCCCCAGTGTAGTGATGGGGACACTATACTGACAAAAAGCACCGTCCTTCGGATGAGACGTTAAACCGAGGTCCTGACTCTCTGTGGTCATTAAAAATCCCAGGATGTCTTTCAAAAAGAGTAGAGGTGTGACCTCGGCATCCTGGCCAAACTCGCCCATTGGCCTCTGA